GGTTTTCTTCAGTTTTCACATGTTTCCAATTATTTGTGCTAACAACGCTGAGAATCTGTGAAACTCGATTTCCCACAAATGTTTTTAGAGAGTTTGGATCCTTTTGTAACCAACCAAGGACAATTGAGGAATCGGTCCACATGAATAATTTATATGGAAAATTTTCGTCTTTTAATAAATTTCGGAATAGCTTAGTGAGCAAAAGAGCCCCACATAATTCTAATTTTGGTACGGTAGTTCTCTTTAGAGGTGCAACCTTTGTCTTTGCTACTAACAGATTACTACTGATTTTACCCTCTTGGTCTTCAGTTCTCATAAAAATCATACCGCAATAAGCCTTCTCTGAGGCATCACAAAACCCATGTATTTGTATACGGTAGCTAGGGGTAAACTCTATCCATCTAGGAATTTTTACTGCGGATATATATGGCAAATTTTCTGCAAACAAATTCCATTTGGTAAGAATTTCTGAAGAAACCACTTCGTCCCATTCGCATTATGCTTTCCATAATTCTTGCATTAGAATTTTGGCACTCACCACAATTGGCCCTACCCATCCTAGCGGGTCAAACAATCTAGCAATTACTGATAGAATTTTTCTTTTTGTGGTGTACGGTGAAATTTCGATTGGATCTAGAATATAGTAGAAATAGTCATCCTTGGTATTCCAGCGGATCCCCAAAGTCTTCATTGTACTCGAATCATCAAACCTCAAAAAATCTTCATCCAGAAGATCCTCCCGGGGCAAATCTGTAAGTAGAAATCTTTCATTTGCGGTGATGTTCTTCATAGGAAATGTTGTGTCTTCACTCAACTTCTGTAAAGTCCGTATGACCAAAAAGGGGCGCAATTAACTCGGTACATCTTCTGAATGCCGCCCGTAAAGACAAATTTGTAGTATCGCCAACCTAAAACAATTTTCATTAAATCATTCTGAAGTGTTGGACCTTGATGTAGCACGTCATTCAAAGAAAACCCACTAGATGTTTTCTTCGATGCGTTAAAGACCACTCTTAATTTAGTCGTTTTACTCTACGGGCGGATAACCGCATGATGTGGGAGATAAAACGAGTATTGTTTTTCACTTTTATTTTCAAAGTGCTGCACTGCATTCATATGATCAAAATCTATATATTCTTGAAGATCTTTTGAATACTCAATTTTTAATTCGGGGGATTTCTCAAGTGTTTTCTCCATTCGGTAGTACTGCGCAAGGGCCATATTCCTCGACATTCTGTCGTTTTAATAAAACAAATTAAAACAATAATATTTGTATAAGATGCCGGACAACGTGCCAGCGGAAAAAGAGGTTATGTTTGCCTCTACTATGTTACCGTTTAACATAAAGGCACATAACTTGGCCGTGGAGTGGAAAAATTGGAGCAAACAATTTAAGATCTACTTATTGGCTTCTAATTTAGATTTGCAGTCCGATAAGAGAGAGGTGGCGTTATTGTTGCACAATATGGGACCGCAGTGCCTCGAGATTTTTAATTCATTTAATGAGGAGATCGACACTATTAAATATGAGAACTTACTAAAAAGGTTTGAACTACATTTTATACCGAAGGTAAATTTGGCCATGGAACGACATACGTTTTTTACCCGCCGACAAAAAACGGAGGAGTCAATAGTTCAGTACGCAACAGCCTTGGAAAATCTAAGTAACACCTGTGGTTTTGGCACACTAAGACAAAGTCTTGTCAAAGATATTTTTATTTGCGGCCTGTCCGATAGTTACAAAAATGTAAAAGAAAGATTATTGAGTGAAGGCTCAATAGAATGGTCAAGAGCTTTGGAAATTGCCAAGAGTATGGAAATGGCAAAAGAAAATATGGCCAGCATACATGGTGAAAAAACAGAAGACTCGATGATAGCAGCCCTACAACATAGAAAAAAGAAATACAACCATACGTATCAACAAAAACAACAACATAAACCAATACAACAATATGATAAGTCGGTGTTATGTAAAAAATGTGGTCAAACACACAAAAATAAATGTCCAGCAGAGGGCGCAGTTTGTCATGCATGCGGAAAAGCAAACCATTATGCAAAAATGTGTTTTCTAAAATCCTATGGTAAAAAGCAACAACCAAAGAAGTTTGTCAAAAAGATTGGTGAAAATGAAAACTCGGATGAAGAAAATCGCTTAATGAAGTAATCACCAACGAGGGGATAAACAACAACAACAAACAAATGACTAACAACAACATATGCAATGTCAACATCGATGTAAATGGTAAAAACGTAGTTTGCCAGGTGGATACCGGAGCTCAGGCGAATTTGATGTCCATCAACACTGTCAACAATTTGGATATTCGTAAGGTCGATTATAAGGTATATAATAATATATATATTTTTAGTGGTGAAAGGATACCGGTTGTTGGAAAAATTTTCACGGAATTTTCTTTTAATAAAATAGTTTATGAAACTTATTTTTATATTGTTAACATGAAGTGTAACAATATTATAGGTTTAGAAATGGCCTCGAAAATGAATTTAATCAAAAGAGTCAATACAATAAATTGTGAAACCATTTTGGAAAAATATAAAGATATGTTTCAAGGTTTAGGATGTCTTAAAGAGAAATGTCATTTACAGCTTAAAGAAAATTGTTAGCCGGTTATTGACCCACCGCGTCGTGTACCATTTAGCCTTCACAAGCCTTTAAAGGAAGAAATTGAAAGGATGAAAAAATTAAAAGTAATTGTTGAGGTTAAAGAGCCTACAGACTGGGTAAACTCAGTCGTGTTAGTCACAAAGGCAAATGGTAGTCTACGATTGTGTTTAGATCCACGTAATCTTAATAAGGTAATAAATAGGCCTAGATTCGATTTTCCTACAATTGACGAGTATAAGTCTCGTATGAGTGGTTCCAATATTTTTAGTCGATTAGATGCAAATTCTGGGTTCTGGATGGTTCAGCTAGATGAGGAATCATCTAGATTGTGAACATTTAACACTCCGTTCGGGATGTATCGGTTTTACGTCTGCCGTTTGGCATTAGCTCAGCACCTGAAATATTTCATGGTGAAATGGTTAGACTTTTTGGTGATATATCAGGATTAGTGATATATATGGACGATTTTTTGATCCATGCACCAAATGTTGATAAACATAATGAAATTTTGAATAAAGTTCTGGAAAGAGGCAAGTTGGTAGGCTTGAAATTTAACAAGAAAAAATCAATTTTTTTAAAGCAGGAAATTAAGTTTATTGGACACATTTTTAGTGGGAGTGGTGTAAGACCAGATGAAGGACGAATAGAACCTATTTTGGCAATGCCAGTACCAACAAATAAACAAGAATTACAACGGTTCTTGGGTATGATTACCTATTTAGGACCTTTTGTAGATAATTTGTCGTCTAAAAATAAGCATTTGAGAGATCTTTTGAAAGATGATGCAGTCTGGTGTTGGAATAATGAACAACAAATTGAATTTGAAAATTTAAAAACAGAAATCACCAAAGCCCCAGTTTTAACGTATTATGATACGGACAAGCCGTTAACGCTATCAGTTGATGCGTCTAAATATGCAGTAGGCGCAGTTATTATGCATGGTAACAACCCAATAGCATATGCATCTGCATCATTGACAGAAAGTCAAATAAATTACGCGCAGATTGAAAATGAATTATTTGCCATTTTGTTTGGGTGCACACGTTTCCATCAGTACATATATGGAAGAAATGTGACTGTTAAAACAAATCACAAGCCTCTTGTCCCGTTATTCAAAAAACCTTTGTATAACATTTATACACATCTACAAAGATTTATGTTGAGATTATTATCATATAATTTTAGGATGTGATTTGTTCGAATTTGGTAAAAAGATTTACTTGATAGTTGTTGATTATTACTCAAAATTTTTTGAAATTGAACTTTTAAGTTCTGGTTATTCATCCGTAAATGTGATAACTAAATTAAAATCAGTTTTTGCTAGATACGGAATTCCAACAATTTTAATTTCAGATACGGCCGCCCTTTAACTCGAAAGAATTTAAAATTTTTGTCTTGATTGGGGTATCGAAAATATAACGTCAAGTCCCTACTTACCACGATCTAACGGTCTTGCAGAAAGATCTATTCAGACGATAAAAAATATTCTGTATAAATGTAAAGACTCTGGTTCAGATCCATACGTATCTTTATTACAATATCGTACAACATCAAAGAACAATATGCCAAGTCCTGCAGAATTGCTTATGAGCAGGAAACTACGCACTAAATTACCATCAGTTACGGATAATTTAAAACCGAAATTGGTAAATCGGAAAAAATTAAATGAATTTTTAAAACAAAAACAATTAAGATCATCTGAAAATTACAATAGAAATTCAGTTATTTTAAAGCCAATTGATATAGGTGAACAAATATATTTCAAGACAAATCCAAAATCAGTTTGGTTTAAAGGTAAAATTTTGAAAAAATGTAAGGAACTAAGATCATTTTTGATAGAGGATGAAAAGGGTGTAGTATACAGAAGAAATAGGCAACACATAATGAAGACAACAGCTGGGAAATCCAATAATTTTATGAATAAATCTATGAAAAAACATAAATTTGATCATAGTAATAATGAAAATATTTATTTTGATTTTAATGTTAGTAATGATAATTATAACAATAATTCAATGATAAATAATGAAAATAATATGAATCAAAATGAAAATGTAAATAATGAAAACATTTCTAATAATGATAATAATGAATTTTATACATCAAAATATGGTAGAAAAATAAAACCGCCTAATAGGCTAAATTTGTAAAAAAAAAATATTTTTAAGTATTATATATATTATATACATTTATTTAAAAACAGGGGGATGTTACATATATAGTAATATATATCATGAGGATACTCTTCTTTAAATGGAAGCCGTACAATGTATTTACCGTCTGATCGACGCACTGTAGTTTTTTCGTAAAATTCTTTACAATATATATCATTCTCTGCTTCTAAACATAAATTTTCTGACAAATACCACCCGAATTGGGATTCTCTGGCTTCGAGACAATTTAATACGTTTGCTTTTATACCCGATAAATTTATAAGGGGCAAGTAGTCGCTTCCAATTATCATGTCGATGCTAGCTGGCTTGTAAAAATATGGGTCTGCAGGATTAAGACCTCTTATTTCCCTTAGATTTTTTATTTTAATAGGCCTCGAGGCAAGAAATTTGATAATTTTGGCAGCACAACTGCTTGTATTCTGAGTTTAAAATCAGACACCCTAGATTTAAGGATAATAGAACATTTTCAGTTTGATTTTCCTACTACCGTTCCACCAAGTCCTGATATTTGAGAATTATGGCTTTCTAATGGTATGGAAAGATTCTGTTGAATTCGTGAGCAAATAAATGACTTCTCGGAATCTGCGTCTAGCAAAGCTCTAACCATAAAATATTCTCCAAATTGTTCTATGGTAACTAAGGCGTGGATAAAACTGTAGTCCCTTCATTACGTGAAAAGTGATTTAAAATATTATCTTCCTGTGGGCTGACTGTGGTAGCATTTGGTGATGATTGAGTATTAAAAGAGGAATTAGCACGCTGGGAGCCACTTGTGGTTGGCTTATCGTCCCTAGGAGGAAATTTTTGGGATTGATCTCGAGGTTCAATATTGTTATTAGGTTTATCAGGTTGGTCTATGTGTAGCATTGTGTTATGCTTCTTATCGCATTTGCCACATAAAATGGGACTTTGACACTTGGACTTAAAATGATTGGGCGATAGACAGTTGACGCAGTACTTGTTGGAGAATACATATTTAATTCTATCGTTCACTGATAATGCCTTAAAATTTTTACAAAAACGCAGGGGGTGATTTTGTTTGCAAATGAAATGATTGATTTCTTGAGGGATGGTTATCCTTATTATATGTTTTTTTCATATCAGAAACAGTTTCTAACATTTCTATTCTTTTGGAAAGATAATCCGACATGTCTTACCAAGTGGGCCAATTCTTATGGTCGGTTAAGGAATTTTCCCAAGATCGCATAGTTTCCTCAGGAAGCTTTGAAATACACAAATATATTAAAATTGCATCCCAATTCTCTGTAAGTTTGAGTGCCTCGAAAATTGCTAAACTCTCACTAATTACACTTTGCACATGACGAATGCATTTTGCATTTTCATTTTGAGTCGATTGTATTCCAAACATCTGCTTCATCTGTTGATGAGCTAGAATTCGTGGATTTTCAAATCCCAGGCCAAGTAAAAATTATCATCAACCAAATCAAACCTTTTCACTATTTGGTTGGCTTCCCCCCTCGTTTTGCTACGTAAGTGGTCACATAGTGGTAACTTTAATGCAAAGGATTGCTTATTTCTTACAACAAATATTTCAAGACTAACCGTTTTCCTTTTTCCCAATTGGTATACGCTGAAGTTGTTGCTGTTGTCTTGAGACAGCCTTCGGAATTCGTAGCCAATTTATCAAGTGGATAATATTAGTTTTTAATAAATATTCTATCTTCTCCCTTTTCCTTCTGTGTATTATTTTTACCACAATAGACAACTATGTTGTTGTTGTGTTGATACAGCTTTTATTTTCACACAAATTTAACAACAGAATTAAAAAAAAAAAAAATATTGCAAAAATTCAAAACAATTTGTTGTTGTTTTGCGACTACTTTTTTCTTTCTTTTTTGTCTTTTCCAGCGCACAAAATTTATCAAGTGGATAAAATAAATGTTTTATTTGCAGAAAATTAAACCACTAGTATATTGTTTTTGCTTTTTGCATTTACTTTATATCACTAAGAATGTTGTTGTTTATTTTTTTTGCATTTATTAGCAAATCTTTACCACCACCGTTCACTACTAAATTATGATTTATAATTATTTTGCAATTTGCTTTTGTTTCTGGATTGATACAAGGGGAACGTGTGGTAACAAAACACTGTAAGTGAGAATAGTATGTCAAATAGATTTCTATACTACTGCGTATGCCTACAAAGTTCCGTTATATTTCATCTTTGTTTAATAGTGATGGTACTTTTTGACGGAGATGGCCATATAATGAGAAATGGTACTTTTTATTACTCTAGTGGAGTTGTGAAGTTTGATTCTTGTTTTTCTTTCTTATTAATATTTTCCTTAGTACTTTGCAAATTAATCACTCTTTAATCAGAATAATAATAAAAAAAATCGCACATAA